TAACACTGCTTCTGCACTTTCGTTGTTAACTTTTCTCAATAGTCATTTATTTCTGCCATATAATTTGCTTAAATTATTAATGATTATTCAGCTAAATTCATTCATCCTTCATCTAAATCCAATGGAAGTGTACAAAGAAGGCAATGGTAAATCCTCAATATTTTATACCTTGTAAACCCTATGATGAGACATTCTAAAATAAAACAGTTAATACCAGTTATTGTATTGTCGAAGAACATAAAAATTCAGGAGCAACACACTCTAATTTCATTTCTTTGATGATTACTATGGTATAATAAAATTATGATGTACTAGGAAATTGTACTAAAAGGACAATGAGCCTCAACTGTTACTTAGTATCAGTTATACTATAAAGATGTAGCAAAAAGAGATAAGGGAAGCAAGCATAACTCCATTGACTCTGCTGAGACACCAGACTCCTTGGCTTTCTCAGCCCTCACGAATCATATCAAGCTACGCTAGTCAAAGAAATTGTTAATTTGTAAGCTGCTTTGTGAGTCATAGTAAAAATATTTTTTATAAATAAAAGGTGCCTTGACAGAAGACCTTGTAAAAGAAGATAATCTTCCTGGTTATTTTTGTGTGTGTGTTAAGTCATTTTTCTAGGCGTGATCACTATTTAACCTTTCAATTTTAAAGGACAAGGTGCTGTCAGATCCACACATTTCTTGATAGAAAATGTAGCCATCCATTTAATAACTCATACCAAACTGCATTAATAATACATGGCACTTTCCCACTCAGCTTTCAGAAAGTGGCTACACACTGAAATCAGTGCTTTTAAAATTCCATTTAAGGCTGGCAAAAGGTCTTGTGGATACAATTTTAAAAAAAAGTTAGCTGGAAGAAACATTGATGAAGAAATGTTTCTGGCACTCTCATTCTAAAGAAACCTTCAAAACAAAGCTGTATTGCAAACAATATAACTTTTTGGCTTGATTAGTCACCATACCTAGCTAGATGTATCATAAAATGTCAAACATCTGAAGCTTTTGAACATCAAGTATATAATTATGCACTTAATAAGGAAAAGTATTTTGTGTGAGAAAATCAAAGAAATGAATAATGTATGGAGCATTCCAGAGAGTAGGGTGTAGCTCTATTTGTGTTGAGGGCGGAAAAGAAGAACAGCACAATAAAGCTTCCTTTATTGAGTAACACAGAGTCTTGCACTATACTGGATTTTTCTTGAAGGATCTATGACTGAATTTCTTCTTTTGATGGTAGTCAACATCTACATTCTGAGAATACATTTTCAACAGGAAAAAAAGTCAAGCAATTTGTCAGCTTATGACATTTTTTAAAAGCCTCTAAGGGTCATATATAGATAACTGATCCAGGTTATAATTTAGAAGTTGACAGATACCAAATATTTCTACTTGTTACCTAGCTGGGCTTTATTGTGAGAGGTCAGACTTCTAATCTTGAGTTGATCACAGACTACAGCTATTCCTCCACTTTGTAGAATGAACACACTGAGTGAATTGCTCATACTGTGATGGGCAAATCACAGTGTGCTTTTATGGATTGTATTCAGGGTGGAAAAGCCTTGGCTACCATGGCCAGAGATAAAGAACTGTAGGAACTGTAGTTCAAAAGCAACTGGAGGAGCAACAGTTTAATTATCAAGTCAATTCCAATTTATGGTGACTCTCTGAAATTTCTGAGGTATGTGAGATATTTAAGTGGTGATTTTACCTCCCAGTGAGTTTCCATAGTGGGACATGAATTTGAACCCATTGTGACAAACCCAGACCTACTGGGATATGCCACACGTTAACTAAGCTGCCACCAACCATTCCCTATAAGAAGTCACACAGACCAGGGATGGATTTTTAAACAAATGAAAGAACAAGGTTTATTTAAAACAACACACAGGGAAAATAAAATGCTCAGGTGAATAAGATATAGTAACGTGGCTTAGTCTCATTCATACATGCATACAGTTTGGTTCACACAGAACCCTTAACTTGAAGCACAGACCCTGAACCTATCAGTTCTGGCTAACCAACAGACACCTGAACCTATCAGGTTGGTACTCTGACACACAGTAGTACCCTGTCTGACACACAGACTCCCACACCAGCTTCTTCTTCCCAGCTGCTGCTTCGTCACATCCCAGCGTCTGCTAAACTCTTCACACACGCTCCACATATATATACAGTACAGCCCCTCCTCCTGATGTCCCGCCTTCCACTCCCCATAGGATGGAACTTTCCCTCCAAACCCATGACAGACAGGTAACATCAGTGCTGTATGTAACACCCATGTCTCCTGAATCTTAGTCCAACAACAATGTATTGACTATTTGGATTGATGTATGTTCAAGAGAGACAGAAAGAGGGTATTGTTCATCTGGATTAGACATCAATATTTTTGAGGTTTACGATTTAATTATGTAAGACCAACATTCTGGCATCCATGTACTAAGTTTTTTTCTTTTTTAAAATGTAGTTCCTAAGTTTTCATGGGTGGTTCCATTATCCCACTACTGAAGAAAAGGAACTCAGATGATACTAACTTGGTCTTGTTTTTAAATACTTGAAAAACAGCCAGCCATCAGCAAGGATACAGTGCTAAATCAAGACATCTTCAACATAAAAACTGCAACAAGTTTAAAACTTCTGATTCTGTAGAATTTCTTCAATTCAGATGGCACTCCTATAGGGGAAAAATGACTAATAGAATGGAAAACAAGGTTTATTTTTTCTTGCAGTGTGCAGATCATGCAACAAAATGGAGGAATTGTTGAAGTAGATGTACATTTTAGTCAGGAAGGCACAATATTTTTAATAAAAAGGATGAAATACTTTTGTTGTTATGTGGCATGAAGTTGTCTCTGACTATGAATGAGTGATCTTGAAAAGATCAAGTCCTCAACTGCTTTTTGTTGTTATTTAGTTGTTAAGTCTTGTCCGGCTCTTCGTGACCCCATGGACCAGAGCATGCCAGGCCCTCCTGTCTTTCACCGCCTCCCGGAGTTGGGTCAAATTCATGTTGGTAGTTTCGGTGACACTGTCCAACCATCTCATCCTTTGTCATCCCCTTCTCCTCTTCACACTTTCCCAGCATCAGAGTCTTTTCCAGGGAGTCTTCTCTTCTCCTGAGATAGCCAAAGTATTGGAGCTTCAGCTTCAGGAGCTGTCCTTACAGGCAGTTGATATGGAGGGGAAGATACGAAAGCAGTGACAGATTTTACTTTCTTGGGCTCCATGATCACTGCAGATGGGGACAGCAGCCACAAAATCAAAAGATGCCTGCTTCTTGAAACGTAGACAGCATCTTAAAAAGCAGAGACCTCACCTTGCCGACAAAGCTCCGCATAGTCAAAGCTATGGTTTTGCCAGTAGCCATGTATGGAAGTGAGAGCTGGACCGTAAAGAAGGCTGACCACCGAATAATTGATACTTTTGAATTGTGGTGCTGGAGGAGACTCTTGAGAGTCGCCTGGACCGCAAGGAGAACAAATCTATCCATTTTGAAGGAAATCAACCCTGAGTGTTCAATGGAAGGACAGATCCTGAAGCTGAGGCTCCAATACTTTGGTCATCTGATGAGAAGACTCCCTGGAAAAGACACTGATGTTGGAAAAGTGTGAAGGCAAGAGAAGGGGACGTCAGAGGATGAGATGGTTGGACAGTGTCATCGAAGCTACCAACATGAATTTGACCCAACTCCGGAAGGCAGTGGAAGACAGGAGGGCCTGGCGTGCTCTGGTCCATGGGGTCACAAAGAGTTGGACACGACTAAATGACTAAACAACAACAACAATCATTTTTGTAGTTTAGGACACACTTTTTAGAAAACTGTCATAAATGAAATATAATTTAAAATATCCAAAATCAACAACGGTTGAGAAAAAGGCTTTTTCATAAAGTACAGCTGGCTTGAGGATATTCTCTTGTACTTTCTGCCCTACTTTCCTTCTGTACATGCCCTAGCCACCGTATGTATATTTATCTCTGAGTAAGCATGACCAGCCCTACTATCAGGCAGAGAAAACCAACTACGTTAGACAGAGAATTTTCCTGTCATGAAGGAGCAATAGTTGTTGTCTTTTAAACACAGGCGCTAAACGAAGAAGGAAACAAAGTTTGCATTCCTTGGAAACAATACACCGTAACGGGGACGGGCTAGGAAGGATAAGAAGATTTTTTGCTAAATCACCTCACGGGGCAAAACGCCTTCGGCTGGACCTACAAGGAACTACCGCGACACGGTCATGTCCTATAACTCCCATCATCCGAGGCTATTTTCCACGCTCCCTTGGGCTGATGGGAAATGAAGTCCAACGACATCGAGGGAGGGACATCACTCACGCTTGACAGGTCGCGTTTGTAAAAGGGTTCACACAGAAAAATAACTCGCATGTGCCTTGATTGAAATATTGCGACGGCTTTCAGCGCCTACGAAGGCTCAGGAAAAGACGGGTGGATTGCGAAAGGGAATTGGACCCTGCCCGTCGCCGTAGCCGCTCGGTCTTTTTTCCCTTCGGGTCCACGTCGGCCGCGCATGCGCCGTGGCGTCGCTGCTTACCTGCCGCCTGCTTGAGGTGCAGCCGCAAAGAGGCGAAAGCGGGCGCGCTGGGGGCAGGGCGGCAAAGGAGGTCGACGCATTCCCTCCCCCCTCATTTTCCGTCTCTTTCAGGGGGTCCGTCGTGAGGCGAAGTAAAACCCATCCCTGCCCAGCTGACAGGGCCGCGAAGGACAGAGGCTCCCGTCAGTTCGCGGCCGCTTCGCCTCTCTCGGCCTCCCCGTCCCGTCGTCATGTTCAAGAAACTGAAGCAGAAGATCAACGAGGAACAAACCTCGGCGGCCCCGCGAAGCCCCGCCGGCGACGCCGCCCCCTCCTCTCCCAGCCCTGCCCAGGTTTGTAGCGGAGTTGGAAGGTGTCGGGAAGCACCTCTGCCTCGCGGGTGTGGGGGTGGGTGGGGGAGCGGGTTTCCTTTCTCGGGCTTCTGTCAGGCGGGTGGAGGTCAAGGGACGAGGAAGACGAAGGGAACAGGGCCGCCGTTCAGAGGTGGGGAGGGCCTGCTCTTCAGGGTTTGTGTGTGGTTGTTGTTGGTGTGTGGGGGGGTCTCCTCGAGCGCCGCGTGCTCTTGACGTCGGTGGTAAACATTTCCCGCCCCCTCGACTTGACCGACACTTTCCTTTCGTCGGGCGTGTGCGTGTGCGAAGCCGGTGAGGACTACTGTGATGCCGTCGTCTCCTGCTGGGCCTCCTTTCAAGTTTAGGATGATCGTGTGCGTGCCGAGTTTGAGCTACCTTCCAATAATGTGGTCCCACTAGTGCAGTCCTATATGCGTTTGCTTACACGTAGATCCCTTTCAATTTAGCCCTGCCGACTATTCCAGCTGCGCGGTTGCAGGATTCCGGTCATACCAGGAAGTATAACGCATATGTGAAGGTGCAGTCTGTATGTAGCCTGCCCGTTGAATCCAGCCCTGTTTGTTCCCGAATGCTTTGAAGCAAATACTACACACTTGGTGGTGTTTGTTTCGGTAGTGTCGATAACGTATATCTTTTTTGTTAGTTCCTTAGAGCATTAGTTCGTTTCAGCCCCAAATTATTTCAAGACAAGACACAACTCTTCGGAGATTTTTCTCTCATAATCGTAGATAATTATATACAGTCTTGCTGATTTTGCTATATCCCCAGGTGGTAAGAGCAAGGAGTGTTTGAAAGAGCAGGAAGAGTAATTTATTGCAGTCACTGTTGTGAATCTAGGAAGGGTGGACCTAGACGTGCAGAACAGCATAGCACCTTGTGGAACATGGTGTATTCCTTAGCTTTTTGAATATTTGTTGAAAGGCTGTTTGCATAATTAGGCTCGAAGTAATTATTCTGGAGGATCTAGGTGAATGACCATTTACAGCATTTATGCTGGAGTCATTCATTGTGCCATCTTCCATTATGTCAGATTATCACAACAGATTTAGATCAACTCAAGGGATTGTTATAGGCTAGTGACTACAGGAAGATTTGTGCTAAGCAGTTCTTCATGAAAGCATCTTCTCTGTGATTTTCTCAGTGACCACATTATGGAGGGAAAGGAAGTGGAATCTTTTTGAAATTAGTAAGCCTTGATTTCTGACTCTTTTATCAGATTGTGCTTTCCTCCCATAGCTCTTGAAAAACAATCAAGTTTCTCCCTCCCTAGTTTGAGTCTTACTTTGGATGAATGTTTGAAATTTCACTGCAGCTATAAGCAGTATAATTCCTTTTTTGAGAGATAAAGGGCTGAAGTGGTAGAATCCCTGCCAGCTTGTAGACCATGCTAGGATGTAGCTCTCCCAGAAATTGGGGAGGGTGTGTGTGCATTAGTCGTTGGTTGAGGAGCTGCTGGATTGCACCACTGCATCATGATGCAGGTAAAGACTGTCATTGCTGAATACTCGTCCATGTCAAAAAACATATTAAATAAAAAACCCTAGTACATTGAAAATAAGCTTTTAACTTTGCCTCTTCTCATTAAGAAGTTTTAAAAAATATTTATTTATTTAAAAAATGTTGCCCTACCTTTCTTCTTAAAAGGACCCAAGGCAACTTTCACTGTTAAAAAGACACTATTAAAAGCTAAAAGCAGTAAGTACACAAATATTTGCTATTAAAAGCTAAAAGCAGTAAGTATACAAATATTAAAAAAATAATTAAACATTGCTTTAAAATGGTAAATAAAATCAATACTAATTGCATTAAAATGGTAAAGAAAATCAATACTAAAATGCAGGAGATTATTAAAAATGTGATTACACACCTTATCTCCAAAAAGGTACTGTTTTTGTATGATTGCACTGTTATGTGTGGATTCGGTATGATATTGATTTGTTAGTAGATCTCTGCTACATATTTAAGTGAGATGTTGGGATAACTTATTATAAAAAGTAAAGATATAGGTACAATAAAGGAAAAAAAGGCAGCATAGCTGTAACAGGAAGCAACTACAACAGCAGATTAAATTTATATCTGTTGCATTATTATGTGCCATCAAGATGCTTCTGACTTACATAGATCCTAGGAATTAATGACTCACAAAACTGTGCTGTTAAGAGCCATGCTCAGTTCTTGCAGATTAAAGGCTGTGCTTTCCTTTTTAGAGTCCTCTCATCTTTCGTCTTCCTCTTTTCCTCCTCTTCAGTTTTTTTAGAGTCCTCTCATCTTTCATCTTCCTCTTTTCCTCCTCTTCAGTTTTTTCTGCCATTACTGTCTTTTCAAGTACATCTTGTATACTCACAGTATATCCAAAGTATAATGCCATCAGTTTAGTCATGTTAGCTTCTAAAAAGGATTCAGGCATAAATTGATCTAGAACTCATTTATTTATTTACAAATTATTCTTCTGGAAGGCACTGGTGGCCAGAAAGCAGGATTTGAAAGCCTCAGGAGGCTTGCAGGCTATACTTTGCTCATCTGATCTAGACTGTTACTCAGTATCACACTGAATGAACCTACTGTCAATGTTAGTTTTGTTTTTGGCTTGGATCCAGTTCATTGGCTTGTAATGTAAAAGTAATGCAGGCATTAAAACTGGTGTGCCAGCTGCACCTGTTCCTTGATATGTCTGATTTAGCTATGGTGACACATGCCTTAGTTATATCCAACTTGGATTACTGTAACACATTCTGTGTGGGGCTGCCTTTGATGACAGTTTGGAAACTTTAGCTGGTGCAAAATTCAGCCAATTATAGGGAGCCAATTATAGGGAGCCCATAATGCCCTGCATGGACTGAAATTCAGCAGAATCAGCAGAGCATTGATCAGTCCAGGTAGTCCAAATAACTCACGCACACACAGGCAGCTTCTCCCAACAAAAGTCTGTGGGTCAAGTCTCCATTGACCTACAGTGCATTGAAAACCGATTAATCCTGTAACAGGCCGTTTTTGTCCCATTTTGGTTTTTTTCTGGTCTGTAAGTCAATTCTCAGGCTGCAAGTCAAACCTAAATTTTGCGGCCAGAGAAGTCTGTAACTCAAAAAGTCTGTAAGTCAAGCCGTCTGTAAGTCAAGGGTCCACTGTACCTATAAAGACAGCTTGGGTCTAGGCCATCTGAAGAGCCTTATCTTCCCATATGAGCCCTCTTGGCATTTGAAATCATTAGAGGAGGACCTCCTATTGGTCCTATTGGCAGCACAGGCACAACTGATGGGGACACAGGAGAGGGGCTTCTCTGTGGCATCTCCCAGGTTATGGAATGCTCTCCCTTGGGAAATCAGCATGGCTGTTAGCGCAAAATCAGCAGAAATTCTGCAGATTCAGCAGAGTATTGATCAGTCCGGGTAGTCCAAATAACTCATGCACACACAGGCAGCTTCTCCCAACATCAATGTGTATTTACAGGATACATTCGGCAGTTCAGTCTGGCAGCATAACAGGATAACATTAATCACAAATCAGGAATACATCTTGTGTATAGCTTCACGCATATATACATCTGCACATCTGCATGTGACCAATCACACTAGATGTTACATCATCCTTGAGTCAGCATCCATGAGTCAGCATGACTCAGCATTCTTACACACCTGTACAGTATGGCTGCTCATTAACGCACACCTTGTTCTGTTCAGCCCTGGAAATTATCCTTGACACCCCTCCTAATTTACGCCTGAGCAGAACATATACCCAATTCTTCAATCATTTTGTATGTTCAGAGGTTTTGTCAAAATGTCAGCTAAATTTTTCTCTGTCTCGCAATATTATAGCTCAATTCACTTGTCTGACATTATGATACTTTATGTCAATGTGCATGGCTGTTAGCGCAAAATCAGCAGAAATTCTGCAGATTCAGCAGAGTATTGATCAGTCCGGGTAGTCCAAATAACTCATGCACACACAGGCAGCTTCTCCCAACATCAATGTGTATTTACAGGATACATTCGGCAGTTCAGTCTGGCAGCATAACAGGATAACATTAATCACAAATCAGGAATACATCTTGTGTATAGCTTCACGCATATATACATCTGCACATCTGCATGTGACCAATCACACTAGATGTTACATCATCCTTGAGTCAGCATCCATGAGTCAGCATGACTCAGCATTCTTACACACCTGTACAGTATGGCTGCTCATTAACGCACACCTTGTTCTGTTCAGCCCTGGAAATTATCCTTGACACCCCTCCTAATTTACGCCTGAGCAGAACATATACCCAATTCTTCAATCATTTCCTTGTGTTTTTGTATGTTCAGAGGTTTTGTCAAAATGTCAGCTACATTTTTCTCTGTCTCACAATATTGTAACTCAACTTTTCTTTTATTGCTTCTCTGACATTATGATACTTTACGTCAATGTGCTTACTCCTGCTTCACATCTTTTCTGTGGTCGCCATCTGAATGCACGTAGTGTTATCTTCATACACAGTTATGGCCTGATCCACTCTTAAATCTGTGAGTAATTGTTTGTACCACACACTTTCTGAGCACAATTCTAATAATGCTGCAAATTCTGCTTCAACTGTTGATGTGGCAATGGAACTTTGTTTCCTTGACTTCCATCCCACCAAAGTATCTGCAAACATTACTGCAAACGTCTTGTCCAATTGGCAAGATATATCAGACTTCCTATTGCTGACTGATATATTTACTGATTTTCAAACTCTTTGTTCTCAGTTTCTGACTTTTGAAAGTCCACTGTCATTGGAGTTTGTAAATTTTTACATTCTTGCATGTTATATTTTTCCAGCATTGTCTTGTTTCTGAATTTTCACCCCCAATAATTTTGTATTGGACCTAGGTTCTTCAATTTGAATTCCTTTTTCAACTGCTTTTCAAATAAATCTATTTGGCTGTGATCTTTGACATAAACATATGTTGTCTACATAGGCTAACAAAATATTTAGCTCTTTTCCACATTCTTTCACATATAAACATGGATCTGCCAAACTTTTTCTATATTTTAACCTTTTCAGTGCTGAATGCAGACACTTATTCCAATTCTCACCGATTGTTTCAATCCGTAAATTGCTTTGTTTAATCTGTATACTATTCATGGTTTAGAGCTTTCAAAACCAGGTGCCCGCGCCATATACAATTCTTCATGTAACTCTGCATTTAAATAAGCAGTTGTAATGTCAAAATGGTTTACTGTATAATTTCTAGAAGCAGCCAGATTTAAGGCTAACCTCATTGTTTCTGATTTTACTGTTGGTGAAAATACCTCCTCATAATGTACATTTTTCTTTTGTGTGTACCCCTGAGCTACTAGTCTTGCTTTGTACCTGTAATCCCCATTGTTTTGCAATTTTTTTTATAGACCCATTTGCTACCAATTACTTTATGTTCTGGTGGCAACTTTGTTTCTGTAAATACTCCATGCTCATCCATGGACTTTAATTCCTCCTTCATGGCCTGTTCCCATTTTTTCCCTATTTCTGGAAGAAGCATCACTTCCTCAAAATTCTTGGACTCTTGATATACATGATACACTTTTATTTCCCCTACACCAAACCTTGTTGGAGAGATTCCTTTATTAGCTCTTTCAGACCTTTTGGGGATTGCAGGCTGACTTTCTACCTCACTATGTTCCCGATCATCCTCTTCTTCTGAGGTGCTGTTGCTTGAGCTTTCTCCAGCCTCTTACTTTGGCTCTATCTCATTTCCGTGATATTTCTCAGTTTCTCTTATGGGAATGTATATTTGGGAATTTGCGTGTACCTTGTCCCAGTTTTCATGCTCACAAAAGTTTGCTGATCAGGAGATTACTACATTTTTGTTTCCATCCAGGAAAGGATATGTCTTGGACCCTCTTTCATAGCCCCAAACCCTCATTTTCTTAGCTTTTGGTCTCCCTTTTCTTCTGGTTTCCTTTGGTACGTGCACCCAGGCACTACAACCAAACACTCTCATATGCTGTAGGGAAGGCTCTTTCCCATACAACATATAATGTGGGGTTTGCTCTATAGCTGAAGACCACAGTCTGTTAACAATGTAATTCGAGGTTAACAACACTTTTCCCCAGTACACATGACTCATTTTAGCATCTGCTATTAGGGCATCATTCATTGTTTGCAGGACTCCATTCCTGCGCTCTGCAGCCCTATTTTGGAAAGGAGAACATGGACTGGTTTTTCCGTGGAATATTCCTCTGTTGTTCAACCATGTCTGGAACTTTCCTGACATGAATTCAGACCCTCTGTCTGTCTGTAATTGAGCCACTTTCTGGTCATATAGCCTTTGCACAAAATTCACCCAATATTTGAAATGATTGAACACTTCTGCTTTGTTTTTCATCAAGTAGCAGAAAGAATAACATGTGTAGTCATCTACAATGACTAGAACATATTTCACTCCTCCCATAGATGGCACAAGAGGCTCGATTCTGTTTTTCTTCCTCGTCATCTAACGCAGTGGGGAGATTGGAAACAATCTGCCACAAGTCCTCCCTTCTCAGCAACATCTTGGCTTTAACCGACCATGTTTGATAATTTTTTTCATTTAGCTCCGTTAAGAGAAAACCTCCCATGTTTGCTGCCCCAAATGACTGCATGCTGCTGCCTTTTCTCTTGGTCCTCCGTTCTCTTTCCCCTCCTGGGATCTCAATGGCAGAACTCTCACCTTCCTGGGCTTTTTCCATATGCCTCTGTGGCACCCTCTGGTATTCACCGGCTTCCTTGGTGCAAGGCAGGTATTGCAGGGCGCGTCACTGAGCCCATAACCCCTTGTTAGAGCAAAATCAGCAGAAGTTGAGCAGAATCAGCAGAGTATTGATCAGTCCAGGTAGTCCACACAACTCACACACACACAGGCAGCTTCTCCCCACACCAACGTGTATTTACAGGATATATAGAGCAGTTCAGTCTGGCAGCATAACAGGATAGCATTCATCACAAATCAGGAATACAGTGGTGCCTCGCTAGACAGTTACCCCGCATGACAGTTTTTCGCTAGACATTGGCATTTTGCGATCGCTATAGCGATTCGCAAAACAATGATTCCTATGGGGGAATTTCACTGGACAATGTTTGGTCCCTGCTTCGCAAACCGATTTTCGCTAGACGACGATTTTGACAGCTCCCTCCGTGCTAGCAAACAGGTGTTTTTGGGACCTAAGCTTCGTAAGACAGCGATTTAAACAGCTGATTGGCGGTTCGCAAAGCGGCTTTCCTATGGCCGATCTTCGCTAGACAATGACGAATCTTCTCCATTGGAACGCATTAAACAGGTTTCAGTGCATTCCAGTGGGGAAATGCTTTTCGCTGTACAATGATTTTGCTAAACAGCGATTTCAGTGGAACGGATTATCATCGTCTAGTGAGGCACTACTGTACATTTTCTGTATAGCTTCACTTATATACACATATATACATCTGCATGTGACCAATCACATTAGATGTTACATCATCCATGAGTCAGCATCCATGGGTCAGCATGACTCAGCATTCTTACACATGTATAATATGGCTGCTCATTAACACACAGCTTGTTCTCTTCAGGCCTGGAAATTATCCTTGACAATGGCTCCCCCCCTTTTATCCTTCTGCCGAAAGCTAAAGACCCATCTCTTCAAGCAGGACTTTAACAGTCCCAATTGAATCCCTGAATGCCTTCTTAGGGTCAGATAATTCTTATTGTTCACTTGCTTTTAATTCAATTGTATTTTAATTGGCATTTCATAATTTTAAAAAACTTACCATGTTATTTTATTTTTTTAAATTTCCAAAACAAATACAAGAATACAAAATACTTACTAATACAATCTAAAACACAGTGCACCCCCGTACCCACAGGACCCTTTGGAGCAATAGTTTCATTATGAACCTTCTTTCCAAAATTATATTGATTGTTGCTTAGAGGCTTTCCCCTTTCCTTTCACTAATACAAATTCAATGAATCTACCCCAAATAGCATAAAAATATTTAAACTTATTTCCCCTCTTTTCATCTTAAGTTCAGTAGTCAATTTATCATTTAACGCAATGTCCCATGCTTCATTATACCAATCTTCTAATTTAATATCATTTCTATCTTTCCAGAATCTAGCTATTAATATTCTAGCACATGTCATAAGATTGGAAATCAGTTTCTTTTCCAAATACAATGGTGCCTCGCTTAATGGGCACCCCGTTTAACGACGAAACCGGTTAGTGATGGAGATTTTAAATTTATAAATATTAAAATATGATCACCTACCACACATTATCCCATAAACTCTCCAAATTTAAATATCAAATGCCTGCTTAAAGCGAAATTTGTTTGCCTTCTATATTGTTTGCTTTTTTTATATTGCATGACTCTGTAGCTAAAACCAATTTACTTGCCCTATTAGACAGAAGAAGTATAGTATAAAGGACAACATTTTATTTACTGTAAGATGTAGTAAAGAAAGGAGCAAATGAACCTCCCAAGGAAGGAAAGGAGCAGCCACTGAACAAGCCATTTCTCAAGTATTTACTAGAAGAACCTATGAAGGTGGTGAGACCAAGAGAAAGGCCTCTTCTAATGTCCTTAACACTTATGGGGGGGGGGTGTCGTCCGGAGAAGTAAAGATGTTGAAACATATCTTGGGTTGACTGAAAACTTGTATCTATTGTCCTGAAATAGTTGCTGTCATAGCTTGTAGGTTTTTGAGAAGGCAGTATGTATTTATTACTGTTACCTCTGTTCCAGGGACCTTCTAGACCTTCACCATTACCAACTAGAAGCAGAACGTCTTCACTTGTAGAGCAAAATGATGAAGGCACTTTAACACCCGACAAAGAGGTGGGCTAAAAAAATCTGTCTGTTAGAACAAGAGCAGGGGGAGTTCCGTCCCAAATAATGAAGAAATTGTGTGAAAAATGAAGCCATATGTGGGAAAATGATGAGATTTGTGTGTTATGTTGTATGTTGTGTGTGACTCCCAGCATCTGGCCCGCCCAGGATGGCCACTTCTGCTGGTTGGTTGTGTGAATGCCTGGAAAATTCTGGACTTGTACTCTTAAAATATGAACTAGCACACTGCTACTTACAACATGCATTTTTAAAAAAGCTAAAACTACCCTTCTAATAAGAGTATTAAAATCTGATTAAATATATATTCTAGGTACTGAATTGGGCATTTTAAAAAACCAAACAGAAATAACTACAATGCTCACTATTAAAGACCCTTTTTCATTGGCTACAGTGGCCAAAGGTAAAGGTAAAGGTTCCCCTTGACATTTAGTCCAGTCGTGTCCGACTCTAGGGCGTAGTGCTCATCCCCGTTTCCAAGCCATAGAGCCAGCGTTTGTCCGAAGACAGTTTCTGTGGTCATGTGGCCAGCGCGACTAGACACGGAATGCCATTACATTCCCACTGAGGCGGTACTTATTTATCTACTTGCATTTTTACATGCTTTCGGACTGCTAGGTTGGCAGGAGCTGGGATGAGTGACGGGAGCCCACTCGGTCGTGTGGATTCGATCTTACAACTGCTGGTCTTCTGACCTTGCAGCACAGAGGCTTCTGCGGTTTAACCCGCAGCGCCACCAACACTGGCCAAACACCTATGTAAATTAAAAAAACATATTTTCTTGCCAATGGAAGGAAGGGTGCTGACCTAACTTCTGTTGGAGGTGAATTCCATGGTGTGTGAATAGCAACAGAAAAGGCTGTCTTTGTACCCTTCCACAATGCTCCTGTGAGTGGTGGTGCTGGGAGGAAAACTTTCTTGAAGAACTTTTGATCTGGATAGTGTTGTCATTGTCATAATTGTCTTAGAATTGCAGAGCTGGAAGGAACCCTATGGATACTGGATATGTATCCTGTTGCTCTGTATTATTTGTGAGAGACTGGTCCTGATTAGGCACATACAATTTCTGTATTTCTTTGTTTTCCAACTGAAATTGCAGGGTCCTTTTTGAGAAATCTTATTAGAAATTCAGACTTGGGTGAAAATTCAGTTTGAGTAAAAGAAAACTTGGATTGGATTTTGTTGAAAGTAATATGTATTGTAAATGTAGTAAGCATCACAGATAGGGCTGGCTAAAATGAACCAGAATTTAGTACGGATACATTGCATTCTCTTTCACAAGCTCAATTAATAAACCCCTTATAGAAACATTGGATTAAAATACAGTGGTGCCTCACATCACGACGTTAATTTGTTCCAACGAAATCGCTGTAGAATGAAAACGTCGTGATGCGATTTTAAAAAGCCCATAGAAACGCATTAAAACCAGATTAATGCGTTCCTAGAGGCTTCAAACTCACCGTCCAGCGAAGATCCTCCATAGTGCGGCCATTTTCGCTGCCTGTGCAGCGAGGAATCCATGCGAAAACACAGCGGGCAGCCATTTTGTGTACCCGGTGGCCATTTTGAAACCGCCGATCAGCTGTTAAAAAATCATCGCTTTGCGATGATCGGTTCCCAAAGCAGGGAACCGATCATCGGGAAGCAAAATTCCCCCATAGGGAACATCATTTTGCGATTGCAAAAAGTTCGTCGTGATGCGATTTTGTCGTCAAACGGAGCGTCCATCTTGCGGGGCACCACTTTATGTATCTATGTGAAAAGGAAGATTGATGAGAAAAATATGTATCTTTTGAGGGCAAATATTATAAATAGTCCACTTCATGGATTGTTTTATTGAAATCAGATTAAGTTCTCTGTAGCCAAAGATGAACAAGCTCTATACAGTCAGCAAAAACAAGACCTGGAACTGATTGTTGCTCTGATCATCAGCTTCTTATTAAAACTCAAGCTTAAACTGAAGAAAGTAGGAAAAACCACTGGGCTAGTCAGATATAATCTAAACCAAATCCTTTATGAATACACAGTGGAAGTGAAGAACAGATTTAAAGAACTCGATTTGGTGGCCAGAGTGCCTGAGGAGTTATGGCTGGAGGCTTGTAACATTGTACAG